TGATAACCTGCGTTCAATTCCTGGACAAATGGGCATTTAGTTGGGTCAGCGAGCCTTGAGCGAAAACCACGACATACAAAATTAAATACAAGGTACATCTGGTCAGTGGTGAACCGTAGATTGCAAAAGAAGCTTCTTAACCTCACCAAGCGCTAACTCTTCATGTTGACAGGACTTTTGATAGGTCACTATCTAATGGAAACTCTGCTTGAAAGACGATGGGGAGGAATCATTTCAGAACTTTCTTCTCAGCTAACCTACTTTCGTTTTGCTAAGCTTTCAACGTCTTGGATCGTATTTTGAGTAACACTTCCGAGGCGCAATCAGCTGCCTGCGGATCTTTATTTGGATCTTATTACTCTCTACTCTCAGTTATCAATTCAGGAAAAATGCTTCAGTGGCCATTTTTGATGTCTATACATCATTATCTGGCCACAGTACCCGCAAGATATGTTTCGAGCTTAATTCTAAGTTCGCTTATTCAGCTGATTTTTTTCTTAAAACCATTATTAAAAAAGGTTTCGGAAATAGACTTTTAAATTTAAAGGTCTGCTGCTGAATATTCTAAATTTGTATATGGACCAAGTTATACTGGTTTTTTCCAGACGGGGTCTATCTTTTATAGTAAATAATGATACAGCATTATCGCTTTTATCCACATAAACCAAAGTGTTATTATTATCCTAACAAAAAATTCGTTTAATTTTTTCCAAAAATTTTGCCCATTTTCAAACAGAAAAATCGCAAAGAGCTCATCACCCTTTACTTTCTACATACAGAGTATATAAAAACTAGCAAACGAAAATTTCGAACCAAAGAGCTGAGCGAGTGCTAACCTGCATTTCTGTAGGGTTTCAATAGAAATCTAACGCCTACGGTAAGTGAAGAGCGCATTTCTATATTTATTTATTTAGCGTTTGGCGGAAAGTGGCCCGCTGCGCTTCATTGAACCACACCTTAAGTGCTGTCTATGGCTACCCAGTATACCTACAGATGCACGTTGTCACAAACGTGTATAAATTAACCGAATGCTGTCGATTAAACCTTACAATGTTAACCGCAAAAGCCAACAGCTGGAATAGCTGACAACTATAAACGAGGAACGCGATATTTAATAAGTGTATGTACATATAGGATTCGCAAAACGAAACTTGATGGCAAAGAACCTTCCACCATGTTACATATGCATACATACATATGTATCTGTCATTGAACCCTTTTACTTAAACCAAAGAAAGAAACTTTATTAAATTATAAACAATGCAAGTAGAAATTAAGACCATTTAGATACAGAGTTGGGAAAAATTTATTGGAATGACGAATAACAAATAAAAAAATTTTAGTTTTCGTTAATAAAAATAATTTAATTTAAGCAAAGAAAAATTATTTGATTTACGGATAAATTATTTTATGTTATTCGAATAATTAGTGAAAATAAAATATTACTTGTCTTGATAAAACATTATACAGAATTCAACTAACTGACAATCAGTGCAAAAAGAGATAAAAGCAAATCGTTGCTCAGTCTGTTGTAAATCAAGTTTTAAGCCCGTTTGAACTTAGCCGTGGTGGTCTTAGAACTCGCATTGGTTACTTGAAAGGACACTAGCAATGTTAATCGCGGTATCCCGGCTTTTTTAAGGTTTTAGCAAATAATCCCGGGATTTTCAGGATCAGTAATTTGCACTGATGGAAATTATATCTTGACCAGTTGGCTATATTTATTTCTTTTATTTAATAATTAATATTTTTTTACAAATGTCTAGCTCGTTGTACATATAACACCGCGCGATAGTCAATTTTAAACACAAATATAATATCAGTATATTCGCGAAATCATGGGCCAAATATAGAAAATTGGGTTTTTAGTTTTTTACTCTGACGTCAGAGAAATGTGCTTCGAGATGACGTATCGGTATCAAATTAAAGAGAAGATCCTGCAGAATTTAAACAGATTCAAGCTTTTCGTACCGAAGGACCGGTAAGTAATTAAAATTTCCTATTAAAATTTCATCTTTGAAATTTTGCAATACATATTAGCTTTTGGAAAAATTATATGTTAAGGACTTATAAAAACTCGATAACATCCTCGAATTTCGTTCTTCTAACTTTATCAGCTTAAAAAATTCGTCCTTGTGAATCCAAAAAAATATTTTTTTTACTTCTAAAGAAATTTCCTCTTGCATTTGTTATCCATATTTTTATTCTACATTCCATTGAAATTTTTAAATAATTTTTGGAATTAATTATATCTTTGTAATTACAAAGTCCTTTCAAATAAGTCTTGACGTCAGAGAGAAAAAATAAAAACGACACTTTAAATAAAAAGTAGGTTTCAAACACATTCATTTATTATTTATTTTATGGTAGGAGAGCTTCTCAAACAATATTGAAGCAATTTTTTCGATTTAACTTGTTGAAAAGTAATGAATATCTAAATTCCGAGACTAATCCGGGGGTGTACCTTGTAAATTCCGATTTCTGATTCATATACAAAACCCCCTTAAAAAGAATTTTTAGAGTGCGCCCTTGGTATGTGCTTACGTACAATTTGTTGGTTTGTGTGCTGTGTATTACAAGTGTGGCTTTATATTTGAGTTTATATGGTATAGTAAGTATATGCACATATGGATACACGTATATTTATGGATGCATGCAAGCATAAACGACTCAACTTGGCCGCATGTTTAGACCAGAATTTCGCAATCACAAAAATCAGAAAACCAGTTTCCAATAGCACTGGCCAATACATACTATATGTATGTGCATGTATACATATTAATGTACACAATAAAGCGTAGCTTGAAGCGCAGTAAGTAACAACAACGGCACAGACTGTAAGCAGATTGGTAGCGTTGGCTCCAAAATGTTTGCTGTTATCCGTTGATTGTTGTAATTGATAAAATAAATAGTTCATATTTGCTTAGTAAATATTTCTTTAAAATATATGAAAATATCAAATCTTTTCACCTATGTTGCTACATACATAGATATGTTTGGCTGTGCATTAGGGTGGTCCCGAAATTCGAAAAAGGGAAAGTCCGAATTTTAATGCTCCGCATGCTGGGACCGTTCTATATCGAAAAACTATACCCCTATTTTGTATTTCGAAAGAATATTTAGGGGTTGCTCAAAGCGTTCAAAGTTTTCCATGTATTTCATATGGGGAAAAAACTGTTTTTCGTAGAAAGTGGTATAGAATTCTTGATTGATGGATTGGTGAAATTTTACCATACCTCTAAATCTGTTTAGTTATATTGCTGTTGTACTTCAAAATACTTAGTATTATTGTACTAATTTTAAATAAATAAAGAAGGAATAAATGGAAATCAATATTTTTGATCGGAAAATGCCGACACATTACGTGGCAAATTTTGGGCGCTGGGATCGATCTCTAAATATTTTTCGATTTCAAAAAAAAAAAACGGTTGTAAATTTTTCAGTATAGAATACTAGGGGTGAGAGCATTAACGACTTAACCTTTTTTTTTACCACCCTAATGTACACGGCGGTGCTGTTACTTTGTTGATATTTTCCTTATCTATCCTTATTCTTGCGTTTGCTTAGTCTTACTGCCTTTTTTCAGTTTATTTTTTTTTTCTTTCTTTCATAGCGTGCCGACATGATTTTTTGTTGTTCTGATAAATATCATTGCTACTGTTTATTTATCGCAGTTAAATGAAGTTCTTTTCCTGTAACTGTTGATGTTTTGCTGCGTTTATGTCTTTTATCTTTATCTTTATCTATTTATATTGTTTACTTTTGTATTCTTTCAACTTCCTTCGTAACTCTTTACATTGTATTGACCTGTTTCTACACGCCTTTCAATTAATAAATTTTTATTTATTAGTTTTTCATGGAATCAGTGTGAGTGGGAACATAAATTTGATTAGTTAAAATTGGAATCTTTAAAAAAATACGAAGGGAAATAGATAAATACTACTCGCGTAATCATCATTCAGATCCTTCCCCCGCACCTTGCCATCAAAAATAATCCTATTGGTGGTTACACATTGCTTGAATAGTTCCTTAGTGCGAGACCACACTTGAGGTGCCACTTTTCCGATAAAAAAAATAATCGGAAACAGTTCACGTAGTTCAAAGTTATCGGGTAACATACATACAAAATTCCAGTGAATTGATCACTTTCCATCTTTTTTGAAGTCGGTTAGTAAATGAAACCAAAAGCTAGCTTTATAGAGTGTTTACACGACTCACAAATTGCGCAACTTCATTTTGAAATTGTAGCTCTTAACACGACCTTCTCAATGTTATTTTCTATTTCGATGACTTGTTTTGTTTTTGTTGTTTTGTTCAGTGTGCTTGTCATTGACGTTTATTTTTTATTTTCTTTGTTTATTAATCCTTCACAATAAGTAACTTTCAGGGTTGTATTCACTAAGTTGAGGTAATTTTGTCTCAATTTCAATGAAATTAAGATTCATACGCAATTTTGGGTGACAGTTTTTTGTATAAGCAATTCCAGCCGAAATGGAGATTGGAGTAGACATTGCGCAACTTTTGCGTCGTGGAAACTCCCTATTAGTTCATGCGACCCCAATCAAATCGAAAGGTGCTGGAAAGCACAGGAGTGCAAATATAATGATTAAAAATATTGAGTATAGTAAGAAAAACTTCAAAAATACCGTAAAGCATATTCGCAATTAATTATATAATACAGTGTTGCTCATAATATTGTTTTAAAATGTATATTGCGAAAAAAGAGTGGAAGAGATTTAGCAGTTTTTTTTAATATTAAAAGGAAATTGATCAAGTATAAGTTAGAGATCTAACAAATATTGTTTCACAGACACTTCAGACCTCAAAAGACATATATTGAAAAGAAACTGTACCTTCAAGACATTTTAGTGGGGTTTCTAACCCTAAAACCACACCTTGCATGCGCCTATGCCACATACACACACTCTCTTAACGTATAGACTGGCTTTGAGCCAAACTTGAATTTGGTATGTATCAAAGTTTTGCTGGTCGATGCTTACCTTCTGAGCGAATAAAATATGTAAGTGTTGGCGATGGTGTAACTGCTTTGTTATCGAATCAGTGGTTTTTATTTATAATATTTTTTTTTGTAAGTTACGATTTTGCCAATTTTGTAAAACTTTTTCTGATTTTGATTTATTATTTTTTATTTTTTTGCACAAACGTTTTCAGAATGTCTTTTAATTAACTGCGTTTTCACTTCAAATTGTTAAAAACTTATCTTTTTTATTTTTATTTTTTATAATTATCTTGCGCATTGAAATTAACAGTTTCAAGACAATTTATTTCATTAAATTATTTTTAAGTGTTATCTGTACATATGTACACTTTTACATTTCAAACAGGGATATATTTTGCATTATATTTTTGGTTTTCACCGCATAAAAGGATTTTTCAATAAAATATTTTTTTCTGCAAATTATTATTTAAAACACTTCCTTATACTTTTTGTTTTTGTATTTATTTATTCTACACACACCAATAATTTTATAATTTATTTCTTAATTTTTTTAAAGAATTTTTTTTTTTAATTTATTAATGCTTTTACCGGAGCTTTTGCGCGCTGTATTTTGTAATAATATTTTTACTTTGTAAAAAATTACAAGTTCAAATTTCTTATAGATTTTTATAAGAATTTTCTTAGATTAGGTATGTGTATAACATTTGTTCTTAATGTTTTTTTATTAATATTAATTTCTTTGCTCAATTTTTGAATAATTCCCTAATTGTATTCAATCAATTTTCCTTTTAGAACTTCATGAAATAGGCTGATATTAAATCATCATCATCGCTTCTTTTTTCTATAAATAGCAACAGTTAGAGTTCACACATTGAACACCACTGTCGCGTGGTTACGCTTGTCACGCTTGTCAACTACAGGCGCACTCTTCTCCAAACACACCTACAACCGCACTCAGCAATACAAACGCAATACACCAGCCGACCAAAATATGCAATGAGCAATCACTGACATGTGAGTATGAATTCCGAGATTTTTTCACATTTCCATTTCACCAATTCAAATTAGAAATAGATAATTTCCACTCGCGTATGCACAGCTCTAGATGCACACATGTATATAAAAATTTAGTCGCCAAATCCACTTTTCCGCATTCACAAAATCAAATTTCCACCTACGATAATGTGGATATACAACGCCAGATACTAGTATTCAGCACGACGATGAAACGCGCGATTAACACTCGAGAGATACTATAAAAACACAACGTCACCGCGACCGGTCAAAAACAAACTGAAAGCAACGCCAACTGCCTGTGGAAGCAACAGCCAGCCAACCGACCAGTCAGCCAAGTCAACACAACACAGCACCGAGCGCCTCCAACGTCAGCGTCAGCGTCGACGGCAGCGTTAACGTCCCACATTTACTCCACCTGGTTGCCATGGCTAGGCTCCACGGCGATGTGTGGGGCCATCGTTGCCCTGCGCTGTCGAGCCGATTTGAACAACAATTACACGCACACAAGCTATAGTCAATGACTCGCAACATGTTGCCCACCATACATGTTGCGCGAAGATGTTGCAAGCATAGTATGTAGTGATACCTTCGAGGGCGCTTAGTGGGGGCACGTAATATGCACACCTCTTCATACGAGCATCGGACGACATGCGTTGGAGTTGCTTGCATGCTCTTATGTATGTGTGTGTGTGTGTGTACTTGTCTAAGAGTGCAATTGTTGCTATCACTCCATGCAGTTGTTTTTTGTTGTTTTATGTCTTGCATGCCATTTTGGATGTTTGTTGAAGAGTGTTGTTGCTCTAAAATAAGAACTGGTTGTGCTGCAACTTCCACTAATGTGGTTTGTAGCTGTTGTTGTTGTTGTCAATGCATTGATATTTAAATGCTGTCAAGTTGTTGGCGCTGGCACGGAAGTTTTTGTTGTCTTCTGCCGATCATTGTTGTTGTTTTCTTTTTACTGCGAGCTTTTTCTTTCTTATAATTGACTTACTTTTTTGTATTCTTTTGTAAACCTTTTAGATTTGGTTGTTGATATTTAAATGCTTGCTATTTGGTGTTTATCTGCGTGCGGTTGTTGTTGTTGTTGTTGTTGTTGTTTATATAGCTGATATTACTATGTTTTTTGCCTTTTATTTTCATAACAAAAAAAGTACTAAGTTAGAAAAATATTTTTCTAACCTGTTTTTTTCCTTTTTATTTCTCAGGCATATAGACCTGAAAGATTCGGTAAAATCCCAGAAAGTCCCCGAAATTTTGTTAAGTCCCGGAAAATAGCGAACGAATCCCAAAACCCGAAACGTTTTGACAAACTCCGAGAAACCCTCGAAAAATGTCGTAAAAATCCCGATTATCACCGAAAACTTCAAATAACAAAATGGGGAAAAAATCCTGAAAAGTCCCGAAAAATCCACAAAAGTCGCGCCCAAGTCACAAAAAAAGTCTAGAAAACTCCCGAAGAATAAAATGCACAATTTTGTTTTAATCCTAGGCAGAATCTCGAAAGATTCCTAAAAATAAAACACGAGGTATCCCAAAAAATTTTGAAAAAATTTCGAAAATACTCCGAAAAGTAGGACACAATGTATTCCGAAAAATTTTGAGCGGTTTCGAAAAAAAAAAATTGTTAGAAATCTTAAAAAGGGTGAAAAAAACCCGCGGCCTAAAATATCCCAAAAAAAAATTAAAATAAACGCCATAAAAATAAATTTGCAAAAATATGCTTTTAAATATGCTAAAACAATGAAGTTTTATTTAATTTTTTCAATATTTTTTTCAGTAATTTCGGAATTGCAATTTAAAATAATATGCTTTTTTAAATTATCGATCGAATACTACCTTCTCTGGTCATTTAAATATTTAAAAAGTTCTCAAAAACCTTTTCTCTGTTAATTTCTGTTCAATATTTTTCACACAGCATTCTTTTACTCTTCATTATACATAAATGTTTCGCTTCATTATTAAACTATTCATCTTGCCACTTTTATGTGTGTTCATGCCTCCAGCAGCCTATAATCGCCTATATCCCAAATATTTATTTCATCACTCAATATTAAAATTAAATTATCAACTTCCCAGATAAGTGTGTTCGTGCGGCTGATTTTTTTTCTTCTTTTTTTCCTTAGTGTTCTTGTTCACTCATTGTCAGCTTTTAATGGCTGTTTTATTTGAAGGCATTGCTCGCTTAATCAACACACCTTTCTTTCATGGCATGCTGGGCTCCTCCGCCGCTTCACTTCGTGGCTATATGGCACACATCTTTTCGCTTTAAAACTCCCCCTCTGTGTGTTATTTAATTGCTACTTTGTTGTTCGCTTAAGTGTTGACTGTTGCGTGCGCCCAGCATTTAAGCCGCTTTCAATTTTAAAGATATTTTTTTTTTTTTATATCATGCCCCACACATGCAACACTTTAAGTTGTTTGCTTTCTATTCTCTTTTTTTGTTTTTGTGTTTGTATAATCCGACATACTTTCTTGAATTTTCATAGCGCTTTTCACTTTTATGACTCTTCAGTTATTTATTGATTCTCTTTTATTGGTTTAGTTGGTCGATTTGATCAATTGTTGTTTTTGTTGTTGTATTACATCTACCAATTACTATTTTAAAATTTCCATTTATAATTTCTTCCTGTTCGTACTAAATTTTTTAGGGCTTTCATTTTCTAGGTGATTTATTTTCTTGAATAATTTTATTATTACCTTTTCTGACCTAGTTTTGAAGTCTTGGGTGAAATTTTACCTCTTACCTTTAAAAAAAAATTCGACTTTTCTAAGATGACTTCGATGAGTCTAAGATGACTAAGATGATTAGCAACTAATACTACTCGTGATCTCCTTTTTGTGAAACTAACTTAAACGCATAACGGCTGAATCGAAGGCTAATCAACCAATAAAGAGTTTAATCCGGGTCTAATTTCTAGGAGATATAGCTGCCCTAATCACAAACGAATTTCTTCTACTTAGGCGAAAATTTTATTGAATAAGAGTTCACTAATTTTTGTCCGCCAAACAGCGTAAATTTGCACTTGGTGTGTTCCGACGAAGACCGTCCTTAAAGCAAGCACGGAAATCTGTCTCTGTGTGCAGACGAATGCGGTGATCGTGCTTTTTCCAGTTCGTTGGCGAATTCGCTCCCATCGAAACCACATGACCCTGGAACTCAGCTTAGTGTTAAGTTCTTCTTCGCTTTCAAGAGCTGAAGAGTATGAATACACAAGCTTGGAGTGAACAATCATTTTGCAGAAGCGTCTGATGGCTGCTAAGTAGGCGACAGCGCTATATCCATACGTCTATAGGTCCACATGGTTGATGTGGTTTTACGAAGAGTTTTGCCTAAGTGCGAGTTCCAAATCAGTTTCTTATCAAGAATTTTATTTTGATTAATATTTTACTAACGACTGTTTTGCCTAAAATAATAAAGGAATTACAAAAAAAAATTGTCTGGGCGTGGTCTACAGCCTATTGATATTTGTACGATATATCAAGCCAAGTCGGGGAAAGAAGTTAGTTACATACATATTTGGCATTTTTGGTGTAAAAAAACACAATTTCTGCTAAAATAACATTCCTATCCTTTACTACGTATGCAGTTGCAATAAAATAAAAAATTATGATACCTGTTCAAATATATTTGTCACTGAAATTAAAATTTGCATGGAGTAGTTGACGTAAATTTGCAAATGCAAATCTCTTGTATGTGCTTTAGGGTGGTCCAAAAAAAAAGAAAAGTCGGAATTTTAATACTGCGACCCCCTAGGATTGTTCTCCATCGAAAAAAATATACCTATATTTTTTATGTTGAAATCAAAAAATAATTAAAGGTCGCTCAAAGCGCTCAAAGTATTTTATATGAGGAAGAAACAACTTTTCGTAGAAATGGTATGGAATTCTTGAAAATGAGTATTTTTCGATCGGAAGACTCTGTTTCTCTTCAAGAGACTTCAAAAAATATTACCCACATATTGATTAACACCACTTGTTATTGTTGTTAATGTTGAATGAACTGTTGGTTTTCAGTTTAAAAGGCTATAATGGCTGCGTTAGGAAAACAAACTACTCAGCGGGATTGTGAAATCGATAACGCCTCTAAGTTATTGTACAAGGAAGAAATAAATATTGAATAATTTTTATAGAAAGTGGCAATGAGAAAATTAAGAAGAAGACGAACTCGACACAGAAATTAAGAATGTGTTGGATTATGACTTGATCTATCTTTACAAAGAAAAATCGCACGCGAACTGTTCTAACGATCCTCAAGAAGTTCCCAATTTTGGAAGTAACAAAATCTGTATCAATTTTAAAATAAAGTGAGATTATAATTTATCCTCAATATAGCAAATAATAATAAGTTGTTAGCCAGAGAGGAGCGGTGAGCAAGTAATCATAATTCTTCATTTAGTTCATTCAAAAATATATATATTAACGCATGATTAAATTTCGAAGCTATTTCTATGCAACCATATAAATCTAATATACAGTGTTGCCAGAAAATTTTGAGGCTTATAACTAAATTCTTCGAAAAAATATGTAAAAAATTTGTTTCATAGCCAAATAAAATAGCTAAAAATATTTTTATTCAAAATAGCTAAATAACGTCAGTTTTTCTCTTTAACGTCAGAATTTTTTAAAATACTTTGAAAATTGCATTTGATTATTTCAAAAAATTATTTAAAAAACTCATTGCAATGTAAAGGAAACAAGTAAGAAAGTCTAAGTTCGGGCGGAGCCGAACATTAAATACCCGGCGCAAGTATTAAATATATGTTTTTTCACTCTTCCGAAACCTTCCGCTAGATGGTAAGCCGAGGTGTATTAATTTTGAGTAAATTAGCGTCCTTCAATTTCGAAATATTGAAGTTTCAAGCATTTCTGAAATTTACCGTTATATGAAAAGCGGCCGTTATTTTAGTCCGATTTCAATAATTTTTAACATTTTTCTTACATGTGGCAAGCACAATAACCACACCGAGTTTGGTACAAATTGGTAGAACGGTTACCGATATACTTATATGTGATCATAAGTGGGCGGTGCCACGCCCATTTTCCAAAATTTTACCATAAACGTATTTCTTGGTAAAGAATTGTTGCAAGCATCAATTTTGAATAAATTAGCTTCAATATTTACTGATTTATCGAAGATTTTGTATTTCTCTAAATTACCGTTATATGGGATGTGGGCGTGGTTATTGTCCGATTTTAAAAAGTTTCGGCGGTTTTTTATGCTGTACGAAGGCCAACAACTGTGCCAAGTTTGGATGAAATTGGTGCAGCGGTAT